GTTTCCGCTTGTTCTCCTGTGCGCCCCTCATGGTTTTCTGATGCTCCTTGTCGTCCCTGGGATTGCAGGTTCCCGGGTGACCTTCTGTGATTCTGAGGTCTCTCCAAGCTGGCCTTGGCCCCAGCTGTCCAGCTGCAGGTCCCATGGCCACTGCCTGATACACTATCAGGGCAGGTACTGGCCAGACTCCAGAGCCGGACTGAGCTGGGGGTCTGGGTGCTGCTGCCTGCAGACCTTGGCTCTATCTATGCTGCCAGCAGGGAGCGTCCTTCCCTCTCCCCATTTGTTTGTCTTCAGTTGTATCTATTTGATCTCGTGGCTTATTATTTTATTCCATAGGTTAAGATCCATCTCTGTCCATATTATCTATCTTTTTGAGGTCCAGATAGTCCCAGATTTGGCCAGTAGCAGCCTGTTTGAGGTGGTCTTGTCTTTTTGACACGGCCCTCCTCGTGGGGAAAGAGAGGCGTGTGTGTGCGTGCCTGCCCATGTGTACGCACATGGGTCTGCTCTCCCTGATTGCAGCCAGCCCGGGAGTAGCCTTGCATGTGCAAATAATAATTCCCTTATCTTTGGTATGGTGGTGGTATTTGGGCTACCCTCCCTGTAGGTAATGACCTCCTGAGGACACTGTCCTCCTCCAGGCCGGTGCTTCCCCAGCCCCTTCCTGTGCACTCCCCTCCCCACCTCTGTGGGAGGAAGGGAAGCCTCTGGCTTTCCAGCCAGGCCACAGGAAGGCAGAAGCTGGTTTCACTTTGTGGCCTCTCACAGGCACTTGACCACTGAGCAYTCCTCCAGCCCGAGAGGCGGTTTCTAGGCTGGAAGCCCTTGGCGCCCATCAGCCCCTGCGCCCTTCCCCTTCCAYGTGATCTTTGCTGGCCTGGAAGAGTCCTGTGTTTCCATGGCAGCTTGTCCCTGTCACCACCTGCTATGGTCTGTCCCCCCAACACTCATCTGTTGGAACCCTAACCCCGAGGTGATGGCCTCAGGAGCCCGAGAGGCTCCTGGCCTCCTCCACCCCGTGAGGTGCAGCGAGAAGCTGCCCTCTGTGAGCCTTCACCAGGCGCCAGGTCTGCGGCGCCTCATCCCAGACTTCTCAGCCTCCAGAAAGGTGGGAAATACATGTCCATTGCTGATGAGGCACCGTCTCTGGAGTTTGCTGCAGCTGCCCTAAGGGACTCGGACACCTCCCTTCATAGTTCCCACGCTAGATGTTGAACTTGTCTTGCTCTCGAGTCTCCAGCCCTGGAGTGGGCCGTCCATGTCACTCGTGCTGGTCCTTGCACGGGCTCTTCCTGGGGCCGGATCGCACGTGTAGAACTGAATGCAGCAGACTTTTAGACCAGGGGTAATAATGGCTTCCTCCCTGAGCAGAACCCTCTATCTMCAGCTCTGAAGCCGTGCCCCAAGGCCCGCAGGAAGACACGTGTTGATCAGAGCTTCCCTCCCTGAAGTTCCAGGGGCAGAGCAACCCCGCGCTGGCCCATGTTCACCGTGGGCTGACCCAGCAGCTGGCGGCTGAACTCTCTGAAAACTATTTCAGACACTGTAGACCCAGTGCCACCACAGTACGACTTAGGTTGTACCTTTTGTAACCTCTGCCGGTTGGTCTGAGAAGAGGGGTTTTATTCGAATCCCTCCATAGCCTGAGAGGTCAGATGTCAGCCATCTGAAGCGTACCTGGGTCACCAGGAAATAAGGCAGAGAAGCCCCAGAGCTGGTGGTCGGTGTGAATTTGATAGCGTATGAATGTCCTGAGGTTCGGCCTGCTGTCCGGGTCTGGGAGGCGGCTAGCCCTTTACTTAGCGCTTACTAACTCTCCAGCTGTGCCCTGTTCTGACACCCTGGCTGTGTTTTAGTCTGTGGAGAGTCAGAGCAGAGAACCGGAGGGCTCGGGCAGGAGATGGAGCGGGCCTGGGAAGCAGAAGGGAAGCCGACGGCCTGAGAGCAGGAGGGTCGAGACTGGGTCAGGAGTCCCTGGTCACGTGGCCTGGAGCCTCCATTCTCACAGAGGGAGAGGCTGGAGCCRGGGAGGGTGCCTGGCGGAGAGCCCAGGGCGGGGTGGCCTGGGAGCCAGCTCCTGACTTCACACACGAGTGTTGTTTTAGTGCCCTGGCAGCTGGGCAGGATGCTGATCAGATGTCATCGAGAAACTATTTAATTATGTTGAGGATTCTCCATTCAGAAGAAGTCAGGGAAGTGTCCAATATGCTTTGAAAAATAATTTCATCCCAAAGAGTCAGAAATACCATCCTGTAGCCCGTGTGGGCAGATAAGTGTTTTCTGAAAAATTCTCCTTCGTTTTCCTCAGTGATGCCTCCTGAGCGCAGCGTGGGTGTGTTTCTGCCCTGGAATGAGGCTGGGCACGCCTGGGACTCCAGAGCTGGGGAGCCGCCGTTGTTCTGGTCATCTCCGTCACGTCCAGCTTTCCCTGAGCTGAGTTTAAGAGTCTCTTAAACATGTTTTCTTATTTATTTTGATTGCAAGGGCAATATGCATTCAGCATAGAGCCAGAAAAGGGAGACAGATTCCATGAAGAAAGAAGAACRCTCATCTTTTCACTTCTGAGAAGGAAGTGCTGTCGACACGGAGGCATTTATCCTGCGTGGTTTGCTGCCACATCCTCTGTGCCTTCATGGAACAGACTCTTCCGTGCACGCAGGCACCTGAGATCTGACTGTGCTAAAATAGCATTGACCCTACTTCCAGTTGGTGATGAACATGTTTATCTCTAGATGCGTGAAGATCTTATTTATTTATTTCTGTGGTCCTATGGATTGAAGCCAGGGGCACCTTACCTCTAAATTACACTCCCAACCCTCTTTATTTCATTTTGAGACAAGATCTTGCTAAGATACTGAGGTTGACCTTGAACTTTCGATCCTCCTGTCTCAGCCTCCTGAGTGGCTGGGATTACACATATGTGACACTGTGCCTTGATTTGGCTAGCAGTCCCTTGCTGTTGGACATTTTGGTTGTGACAGTTCTTTTGCATTAGTGATTGTGGCTGGGATCTGCCTCCCCCTCCATGATCTCCTTAAAATACTCTTGGAAGTCCGTGGCTGTGTCAGAGGAAAGAAAGGCTTCTCTGGTGTTCAGAGTGTGTTGCCAAAACTCCCAGACTGATTTTCCACTCTGACTTCATGATGCCGGGAAGTCCGTCTTGCCCGTCGTTTAGTATTGTCCAAATTGTGATGCCCAGAAGACATCTCAAATTCCTGCCGTATCCCCCCGCTGGGTTCCACCCTCCTCCCTCTCCTTGCACAGACTTCTCTCCGACTGGGTGGGCACCGGGCTCCAGAGTCTTGTCCCTGGGGAATCGGCATGATGCTGGGAACACGGAGCGCCGGCAGTGACGTGTGGGCACACGAGTGCACGGGGCCAGGCGTATTTAGAGTGTAGCTGGGGAAGTTACCCTGGGCCCCCCCATCCTCGTTCATCTCCATGCCAAGGGCAGTGCTTGGTGGCTGAACATTCGACAGACGCTTCTGGCTGATCCTGGCCTAGGACCAAGTCCCAGTCGCCCCACCTGGCCTCGCGATCTGCCCCGTCTACTCTGCCTTTGTAGTCTTCCCTTCTCTAGCTACACTCCCATTCCACGACCTTCAGCTGATCCTCCACCATGCCAAACTCCTTCCAGATCATGACTCTTTCATATAGCGCGTGGCTCCCTGTGCTGGCGGACACTCACCTTTTTCTTACTCTTCCACATTTGGGATGCAGCCAATTGCTGTGACAAAGAACAAGGCTCTTAATGGTCAGGCTGGGGTTTGTACCTTGGTTCTGCCATACAGCAGCTMTGCCACCTTGGACAAGTTACTCAGCTTCTCTGAACCTTAGTAAGGGGGATAATAATAGTAACCACCTCCTGGGGTTTTTTGAGGACCATATATGGCGATATATGTATAAGCACTCAGAAGAAATCCTGGCACACAGTAAGCATCAGCAAACACTTGCTGTCCAGGGCCGGCCAGCTGGCCTCCGCTTACTCACCCCTCACAAAGAAGATTTCCCTGACCCCAAGTCTGGGCCAGGAACTCCTATTTATGCTCTCACGGCCATCTGTACCTTCCTTTTTAGCAGTGACAGCAATTGTTACAACATACGTAAGCATTTGAAGATGCCTGCCTATTGCCTGAGACTRTAAGCTGCACAAGGGACCTATCTCTAGCTCACGGCTCAGGACTCGGGTTCAATAAGCACCTGCTCAGGGAATGATGGTGACAGTCCCATTACTGTGCCTGTGAGTGGAGCAGCCATTCCTCCCAGAGGGAGAGCAAGCTGCTCGTGGCAGCCCTGGCTGCAGCCATGGCCAGAGGGCTCCCTGCAGGATCCCCCCTGTGTCAGGCCTGTGTCTTGGGCCAGCCTGCTCTTGGGATCCTCTAGTGTGCGTTTCTCAGTGAGGGACCCGTGCAGTTTTTAAATTTCTAACTTGTCACATCAGAACTTTTGAGAATACAATGAAATAAATTACTAGAAAAATGGAACATGACTCCAGCCCAGGGTTTCCCAACATTGACACTTGATTTTCRGGGCTAGGTCATCCTTTGACACAGAGGTCTGTCCCCTGTGTTGTAGGATGCCTAACAGCCTTGGCCTGTATCCACTAGTTGCCTGTAGCACCTCGACCCCAAGCTGCGACAGCCAAAAAATGTCTCCAGACATTGCTAGTGTCCCCTGGAGGCAGACGTCATCTCCGACGGAGAACCACTAATGAAGACTTGCAAAACGCAAGCCCTGATGTTCTGTGATTAGATTCAGCAGACTTCCTCTCAGATTGCTCTAAAGGTTTTTAAGCCCTTCCCCTGGGTTTCTGAACACAACTTATCACAGGCCAATGACCGACCCTTCCTGGACCTGGGCCATGTGCAGCCATCCTGTGAGCCGCTCAGGCCCTACTTCATAGAAGGAGAAACAGGCTGCTCGGGGCTGGCTAGAAGGTGCTGTTAACACACGTGAAACTTCTAGGGCGYTTCTGAGGTCTTTCTCTCTCTCCCCAGCACCCCTGCCACAGATGATGTCATCCAGCCAGCTGCAGGCCTGAGAAACCTGTCCCTAGTGGCCTCTTCCCGTCATGCTGACGCCCTCGGCCAGGTCTCCAGGGGTCTGACAGCCCAGAGGTACAGTGGGGGCTGAGATGGGGCTGGTGCGGGGACCCCAGGACACTCCCTGAGGCTGCCTCCCTCCCTCCCTCCCTCCCCTCTTATCTGCAGTTCTGCTCCCTGCCCCCAYGCAGGGTCTGCATACCTGTCCCCCACAGGTGCCTGTCAGGGCTTGGCCTCTTCTCATGGCCTTGGGGACGATCTGAGGGGACTCTGGGGAGACCCCCCTGCCACCACACTCACACAGCCCATTTTAGAGGTTTGTTGTCTTGTAACATTTAGGGGTATCTATTGGAACAGGGGTCTCTGTGGAAACAGAGGCCCTGGAGGCTGAGGCAGGAGGACTGCAGTTCAAGGCCAGCCTTGGCAATTTAGCAAGGCCTTGAGCAACTCGGCAAGACCCAGTTTCAAAATAAAAACATTTGAAAAGCTGGAGATGTGACTCAGTGGTGAGGGCCTCTGGGTTCAGTTTCCAGTACCTAAAAAGAAAGTAAACTGTGCTTCTAAAACGTGGCCCAGAGTGTGGGAATGTTGTGACTTGGACCAGATTAGAGGGGAGGACCGGGAGGGCCCCCTTGCTCACCCTCCTGGGGCAGGTGTGTGCTACCCCCTCCCGAGCCGCCTCTCTCGGGACAGACGGGTGCAGACAGGCAGGTGGCCAACAGCATGGAGTGGCCTCTTCATACACTGGGGTATCTGCCTGTGGAAGAGATACGAGGGGGTGAAGCCGCAGGAAGGTGCCAGCCAGAAGCAGATTCCAAAGCAGCATTATGTGGACGTGGAATTCTGAGTGTTCCCCGTCCAGGTGGAGGTCAGCCATAGTTCTTAACTGTGAGTCCAACTTTTTAAAGGAGAGATCATGGCCGGGACTAGGCTCACAGCGGTCAGGAGCACAGGAAGGCTGGAAGTCGGGGACCCGCTACCTCTTTCCTGCTTCCTCCTTCCTCCACGGTGCTCCCAGTTAGCCAGCCCCCAGTGTTTAGGAAGCCTGGGGCCCTGGGCTGAGTCCGAGGGGGAGGCTTGAGGAACCCTGGAAGGGCCCCTCTGAAGCTTCATCTTACGTCAGGGTGCACAGGGGCCCGAGGACCCCAGAGCAGAGGCTGGAGGAGGGTCTGGCTGGATGGCTCTTGGGAGAACCAAGTCCAGTGAGGGGATGAGGGTGGTGACAGGCGCTTCTGAAGTCCCTCTTGTTCCCTGGGACTGTGTTTTAACAGCTGTCCCAGGCCCCTTTGCCCGGACACCTCTTGTCTATGTGCCACCCTGAGGTCTCCGAGTCCTYGCAGCAGCGTAGGAGGTGGAGGTGCTGTTCCCGCTGCGTGTCACCCGTGTGCAGACTTGGCTCACTTGGTTCCTAAGTGGCAGAGCTGGGCTGAAGCTGGGTCAGGGTAGAGCCCCTCCCTGGCAGATGACCWTGTCCATCTGTAGCCCTGTGGGGTGACTGCAGAGTGCAGGAGGGGGCAGGTGACAGAGCATAGATGCTCTCGGTGCTGCTGGGAACTCGGCAGCTCCCCGGCTGTCTCTCCCAGAGGGGAGGCTGGGGAGAACCCTGGGCGGGGCGAAGTGCGATCAAAATAGGAGGTGAGCGCTACAGACCTGGGGAGGACACGACAGAGGAGCGGGCATTTATCCCATCAGATCGTCCGGCTGCTCTCCGTGGGTCGGTGGGAAAGAGCCAGTCCTGGTAGGWGCAGGGCTCGCCCGTCTCACTTGGGTCCGTCAGGGCTCCACGAAATCRTCCTCCTCATTCAGTTCCACCTTTGAGAACTGGCTCGCTGAGATTGGCCTCTAACCCCAGAGTCGGAACCCGGGGCTCTTCCTCAGTCTTGCGCAGACGCCTGCCAAGTGGTGAAAATCGGGGTCGCAYGGCACACGTGTTCTCAGCCGAGCTCGGACGAGGCCCTGCTGGCTGTCTCCACCACATTTGGGCTTTCCGTGAGCAAGAGTCCTTTTCGCAGATCGCTGGCAGCTCCTGTGCTGTTGTTGGTGGTGTCGCTGTTTGGTGTCCCAGTGCCGTCCTACGTGCAGGAAGGCCATGTGTGACATGCCCGTGGGAGAAGACGCATGAYAGGCAAGCTCCGCTCTGGCCTAGTCGGGGTGCAGTTGGCGTGAGCTCCAGGTTACCGATCCTAGGACACTTGAGAGGGAAATGCACACACAAGCTCCTGTTGATAGGTGGCTGACGAAAGTGTTGTGTCAGAGGCTCCAGGGGCCCAACCTTGTCCTTGAGGACGAGGAGCCTCAAGAGCCGAGGTTTAGWGTTGGCAGATTCAGGTTCACAGACTTTATCAAGTACAGCAAGAAGCAACAGACCCCTGTCAGAGTGGAGGAGGAGACCTTCTGTCAGGGTGCAGTGGTGACGGTTTTCACCTCAAAAGTGTCCCTGCCTCCCCCACCCAAGGACCCCTCCTCCCTCTCCTGCTGAGAGTAGGACTTGGGAGAGGATGGGATGGGGAGGAGATGGGAGGGAAACTGGACTGTCACAGTCCTTTGTCTTCACAGAACAGGGTCGGTACTTCAAATTAGAAAGTTTAATTAAAAGCTTTTGGTTTTTTTGGTGCCAGGGATTGAACTCAGGAGCACTTAACCACTGAGCCACATCCCCAGCCCTGTTTTGTATTTTATGTAGAGACAGGGTCTCACGGAGTTGCTTAGGGCCTTGSTAAGTTGCTGAGGCTGACTTTGAACTTGAGATCCTCCTGCCTCAGCCTCCTGGAGCTGCTGGGAATACAGGCGTGCACCACCACATCTGGCTGATTAAAAACCTTTCAATGTGTTCTTAAAAAGTTATGTAAAAGATGGGGCAGAAGCTTTTGCTTTAAGCCAACTAAGAGAAAAACAGAGCAGACCTCTGTCCTGCTCATTCTACATTCCTAGAGCTTTTCTCTCTAAATAGTAAAAAAGGGAGAAGTCACCTCTGTCTGGGGTGTTTCTCTTATTAAAGCCTGCCCACCTGCCCGCACCTAGGAAGGGCCCCTGCAGGGCCTGGGCTAGTTGTGCTTCCRTTTTGCTTTGGCATCCCCGGGGCCCAGGTATTCTAGAACGTTCTACTAATGACCAGCTTTCCCATGGGCATTTGTACTCTCATCTGTTATGAAAACCAGAATGAATTTCGTTATGAAACCTTCCAGCTGTACCACTGTTGATCAGACAGATTGAAATGGGAACTCTGGTCACAGCCAGACTTCTTCCATGCTCTTCCCCATTGTCAGAGACCCAGGTGACCTTGAGGATTCCCATCGACACAGCTGGAAAACTGTTTGCCCACCCACCACTCATGTCCGTGGGTCCAACTTTAGTGTGCATCAGAATGACCTGGTGACAACCAGATTTCAACCCCACCCTGAGCTGAGCCTCTGCTGCAGAGCCTGAGGAGCTGCCCAGGACTCTGCATTGCTGACGTCCCTAGGGACGCCTGTGCTGCTGGTCTCGYGCCCCCAGCAGAGCTCCTCTGCGTGGAAGCCATCTCACCCTGTTCACAGCTGGCAGGACTCCAGGCGGCTGCATCAGCAGTTGGTGGCAGATGCTCCTGCTCTCTGATTTCAAACACAGCAGCCACAAGCCTGGGAACCTGGAGCTCCTGCTCAGCATCCTCCACTTACTCGAGCATTTCCAAACACAGAAGCAGAACTTCACACTTTTAGAAGGTGCAAGACGTAAAGCTTCTGTTTTTCCTTTTGTTCCTAAATCATTTTGCTGTTTGCACAGGATTTTTTTTTGTCTTTGAGCTCTAGCCTTGTGCATGCTAGGCAAGTGCTCTACCACTGAGCCGCCTCCCCAGCAAGCTGTTGCCTAAGGGGGCTCCACTACCATGAAGCTTTGTTGAATCTTTATTTAAGCAGACACTAGATTGAAAACGGAAGCATAAAATGGAGAATTTCTTTCTTTCTTTCTTTTTTTTTTTAAATTAGAAGAGGGATTACCCAATTCTGTTAACAGAATTTCTTTGTAGCTTTTTTTTTTTTTTTTTTTTTTTGCAGGGGGTAATCAGGGATTGAACGGAGGGGCTCTCAGCCGCTGAGCCACATCCCTAGTCCTTTTTAAATATTTTATTCAGGGACAGGGTCTTGCTGAGTTGCTTAGGGCCTCGGTGAGTTGCTAAAGCTGACTTTGAACTCTTGATCCTCCTGCCTCAGCCTCCCAAGCCTCTGGGATTGCAAGCATGCACCACCAAATGGCTCYTTTGTGCCATTTCAAAGCTACTTTGTTCATGAGTCAGATCTACACAAGCAGCGGACAGTGTGCCTAGTAAATGGGGTGCTCTGTAGATTCATTCAGAACCTATGCATTTCCAGCGTTTGGCTACTATCAGGTGGAACCGTGTGAATTACCACTTTGGCAGTTGTCAGATTTTGACAGTTTCACATCATTCAGATGAACGCAGGGTTTTGTTCTTCTCCTGGTTCTTGGCCTGCGTTATCTGTGCAGGTGGGTTTTGGCTCTATGAAAACATGGCCTGGTATCTCTGAGCTCAGCTTCCTTTCCTTCTCTTTATCTCATGCCTCTACCATCTGTAACCTGGGCCTGTTACCCTGGGGTGCTCAGAGCACGTGAGGAGTTTTTGCACCTGGGCTGAGCACCTCAGGAGCTGCTAGCGATGAGGGGATAGTGGGAATTTGTGACCCAGATGTTCCATCCCAGACCAAAGCCTCTGCTATAGTTTTGGGATGGTCTTTATGACTCTTCCCCTAGTTAATTAATATTTTCCTTCCTGCCAAGTCCCACCTGGGCCAAACTTAAAAAAAAAATAATAATTTTTCTCCTCTGAACACAGACTCAGTCTGGGAAGGGAAAGAGGGTAAGGAAAGTACCAGGGAAGAACTGACCAGCCAGTTCAGGGTTAACTGTGCAGGAGCCACGCCCCCCCCCACCCTCTGAGCTGGAGATTAGCAGTTCAGTCTATTTGGGGCTCTTCCCATGCTCTGGGGGCTGCTGGTGCTCACATGCTGGTGAATCTAGCTGGTGACTGGAAATATCTGGATGTGCTTGCCTCTGAGCTTTCAGCCAATTTACAGGCCTCTCTCAGCACCCTCTGAGTGGGGCTCTGGAGCATTCTGGTAGCGTGGCTCAGAGGTGCTTGCCCTGTCTCCAGTTGCTGGGACTTGCGTAATCAAATCTCGGGCCTCAGAACGACTGTCCAGTGCTCTCCAAACCAGCCATTCCAGAGCCCATCCCTCCTTCCAGCCTGCTCTCCCTTTCAGTCTGGCTGACTTGGGTGCTGATGCCTGCCCGTTACGTGCTCTGCACATGTGGGGATTGAAGAACAAGAAGTCAAGAGGGCTGGGAGGCAGGGCTGTCGTGCTCAATGCCTTCCAGATGGTGCTGTGAGCTGGAGATAAGATGCTGCGCCAGGCTGGCCTGGCCTGGCCTGGCAGGACGTGATTCAGCTCGCACCTGGGGGGCTGTTATCACCCTCCTGTGACAGCCTGGGCCGCTCTGGTGTTTGTTCTTGGACAGGGGCTTAATTTGGCAACTCCAGCTGATCTGTGAAATCAAATTTGCTATCAGTTCAGTGGGCATTCTGCCAAGGACTTAAACACCCTGAACAGGGACTCAAGGCACAAGCGTTGCTGACAGCGTCTCAGTGTAGCTGGACTCGGTGCAAGCCCTGGAAGACAGTCTCTGTTTTCTGTGGGTGGGGACTGTGGCTGAATGGCCATTGGGACCAGTCGTTGTTCTTGAGGACCATGGCAAGGCATGACTCAGGGACAGCACAGTGGCTCTGCAGCAATGCATGCGGAGAAGGATTCCGAAGTCTGGTCAGCTGGGCTTAACCGGAAAGAAGACCCTGATGGACAGATCATGCCTGTCTGCTGAAAGGATGATGCTTTGGGTGGTCTCTGTTTGTCAGCTGTGTCACGAAAAAGGGGGGAAAGTTGGAATGAAATCCGCATCCCCTTCACCTCCCAAACATGCAAACATTCTACATGAATTTGAATTCAGCTTTGACTTGTTCCAGGAGAATTGAAAAGTGTTGGTGAGACCCTCAAATGGGACAGGGGATCAGGACACTCACAACTAGACAGGCCTTTGTGAACCTTAGCCTCRGGCCCATTTTGGGAGGACAGGAGGACCACTTGTAGAGGTGACATGGGGTGCAGAGGGTGAGGACCCCACCTCTTGTGCTTTGTGGAAGGGTCCTGGAAGTTTTACAGAGGACACTGTGTTTAAGACATGAAGGCCTCACCTTCCTGAGAACAGTGTCTTCAAGACGGTCGCTGTGGGTCATGGGGACGAAGGCAGAGACAGGAGCTGACCGGAATCAATGACAAGAACTTACCACCTTCCTGTCTCTGCGGGGTAGCTGAGCCCTCTGGCAGCTCGGGGAGTGAGGGACCCATTTCCCCTCTTCTTTGGTCCAGGTCCAGGCTGGCTTCCTGGATGTGTAGCCTGGGGCTGCCCAGTGTGCTGCTCTCAGAAGGGCCCTGCTCCTGGTTCAACCCTCTGCCGTTTCTCTCTGGAAATCTTGGTGCCTTTAGAAGATGAGCCTGGCATTTTCCCTTGGCTTTCACCTGCAGCCATTTTGGCTGGAAAACATGTTGCTGGCCCAGCCTCTGCACTTGACTCGGACATTCCCAGAGGACAGTCAGTTGCCCCAAGGTTGGGGAGCCTGGAGGGAGGGAGGGTGGGCCTCAGGTTTGGAGCACTCTATGGGGGCCAGGCTCCCTCCTGGGATGCCCAGAGGTTGGGGGCCACCTGGCCTGGTGGATGCTGTTCCCCCGTCAGGGGAGAGAGTCCGTGTTTGGCAGGCGCCTGAGGAGGGAGGCGGACGCCTTCTAGGCGGAAGGTCTGTGGAGCCAAGGCCCTGCTCAGAGTGTCCAGGGGCCTCACTGCTTGGCTGGGTCGGAGCAGGTGGTGGCTCTGGGCCTGGGGGTGGTTCAGAGCCACCTGGGGAGCCCACTGCTGGCTTGAAAAACTGGGGAAGGTTTTATGCAAGGAGAGGACCTGCTCGAGTTGGGTCGTTCTGTGCTGTGGGGACATGGATCTGAGGGGACAGAACTGGAGGCGGCCATAACCGATGTCCCAGGAGTTCTGCTCCTAGAGGGTGAGGACCTGGGGCAGCAGACAGTGGCCGGCCAGAGAGGCAGATCCCGGAAAAAGGAGGTGAGTCAGCAGGAAGAGGCGATGAAGGGCCCGGGGCAAGAGAAAGCGGAGGAGGCTGACCATCCTGATTTCCAGGCTCTGCGTGGCCGCCTGGTGGGGTCACTGTCAAAATGGGAAGATTGGAGGAGGAGGGTCCCTGTTGGGACCTGGAGGCGGCCTGGGTGTCTGTGCTAGGCTGGGTGGTGATCGCTCCTTTCCCTAAGGGGGCCCGACCTCCTGGCTGGTGGGGATGGCTGGAAGGGAAGGTGGAGGGAGGCACCGTTCTTAATCAAGCTGTTGAGTCACTTGTTTGGTGCCTTTGGCTGATGGGACCAGGGCAGGAAGGGTGTGGCCTGGTGGTTCAGAGCCAACCAAGGGAAGGGAGGAGTGAGCTTGGGGTGGCCTGGGGAACAGAACTGGCTTTGAGGACAGCCAGGAGCTCCAGGACACGGAGCTGGGAGCTGGATGCTGAGTGAGAGCCTCCATGGTGCTGCCCCGGGGCCTTCTCAGGTTGGCTGCAGTGGACTGCAGTTTGGGGGCATCCCTGGGGGATGACTATCCAGGCTGTTGACTGTCCTGAGGCCACCCCCTGGAGCATTTCCAAAATAGATTTTTCCTTACAGTTTGATAACCAGGAGCCATGATTCACGCCTGTAATCCCAGTGACTCTGGAGGCTGAAGCAGGAGGCTTGCAAATCCAAGGCCAGCCTGGGCAACTTACGAGACCCTGTCTCAAAAATTAAAAGGGCTGGAGGTGTAGCTCAGTGATAGAGCACCCCGGGTTCAGTCCCAATAAACACACACACAGAGTACTTTTAATAACAGAACTGCAAGCAGTATACCTTTCCTCGGTGTGTATTAAATTACCTCTTAGTGGGGKGTGTGTGTGTGCGGAGAAAGCAGCTGAACGTCCTTGAGAGCCTGTGTTTTAGATGTGCGCTTTGTGTTTGTAAGTGGCCTCTTCACCGACTAGGAACGTGGGTTGAGGGAATATCATAAAGGGGCTTCCTGAGTGTGAAGGTGTCTCTCCTAAGAGTTTAAACAGCTCGAGGAGTCCATATTATTCATTTTGTGTCTTTTTTTTTTAACAAAATTATTTTAATCCCTGTCCACGTGGTAGATGAATAAGAATTGGATGACCCAGGTGTCGCTCCACCTATAAACCCATGATATGACTTCGCCTGGGTCTTTCCAACACTCCTTGTCACTTCTCTCCACGTGGCCTGGCACTCTGGCCTCCAGGGATCGCTGTCGTCTGACTCTTGTTTTTCTGTCCATTTCCGTGGGGCCCCGAGGAGCCAACAGGGTKGACTGGAGCTCAGTCTGCACTCGTGACCCTTGGGCACAGCTGGTGGGATACTCCTGGGCTGTCTGTGCTGGTGCTCCCTGTGGGTGGCCCAGCTGGACGGGGAGGATGAGAGACATGGCCCCTGTGTACCGGGAGCTCACAGGCTGGTCTCCCCAGGGTAGGACAGCCATAAGGACCTGTCCCCGAGGAGGAGTGTGGGCTCATGACTGGGGCAGACTCTTTAGAAAGTGGGCATGTTGGACGTGACATGGCTGGGCCCATCACTTCAGGCACATCCAAGGGGTGAGGGGAGGGGACAGGACAGGGCAGGGGAGGGGAGTGAGGGGCTGATCCTACCTGCTGAGCCTGGCAGGAACTGGGTGAGACTGAGAAGTCTCCTCCAGGTGTGTGGGGTAGGTGCCTGTGGACGTTGTCCTCCAGGCCAAGGTGCCAGCCTCGGTGGAGCCCGAGAAGCTGGGAATGAGCAGGACTTGGTGACACAGAAACCCACGCTCCTGTGGGTATTTGCCCCTGGGGGAAGAAATGATCCCGCCCCACAAGGGCTGTGAAACCTCAAACCCCAGCTGCCACCTCAGGCTGGGTTTCAAGACCTCAGAACTGAGTCACGGAATTTCAGCCCGGCCCCCGCTGAGAGGCCCTGCGCAGGCCAGCTCTCGGGACAGAGCCCTGGAGGTCTGCAGAGACTGGGGAGGCGTCCCCGTAGTCTGTTCCCAGGCTGCAGATGGCAGTGCTACTCCTGCCTTTGCCAAAGGGGAAGATCAGCACCTGTTTTGAGCTCCAGGACTGTGCCTCTTGGTTTTTGGGATTGTCTTCCCAGAGCTTCCCCAGGAGGCCCCTGCATGCTGGAGTTCCCTTGGACGTCCAGGAGAGGGCGCTGACCCAACACACAAGGCCCTGGCTGTGGCCATCTCCGCTGAGGAGCCAGGGAGGGAGCTCTGAGTCCTTGGCTACCCATCAGCCTTTTCAGCTGTACTTTTCTCAGCCTCAGATTTTGGGGGGGCAAATCCTGGAGAGTTTGCACAGTTATGTTGTAGTTCTCAGTTCAGAGTTTTATTGCCTGTACACAATGATGATAAATTATCACACAAAAAATCCTCTCCTCCAAAGAAAAGTCAAACAAGAAAACTCACACAGAGGGTYCGAACACCTGAGCTGTTAGTGAGGCCCCGGTTTTCCTGGAGCCTGAGGAGGGAGGAACTGGAGGCCCTGGCCTGGCACTGGAGGTCACAGCCTCTATCATGTATGTGGAGGCCCTGGTGGGGAGACCAGGGAAGCAGTGCACTGGGTCTTTAAATAGTCCATGCAGTGTGTGGGGTGGCTTGGGTGGGGGTGAGTGGGGCCTGATGAATGTGCCCTTAATGAGCCAAGTTCCATTTGGAATAATTCTTCCATTGTGTCCCCAGCACCTCCCCAGCTGCTGCCCATGCGGGTCTTGCTCCCCCGGCCTCAGACCACGCAGTTTTGCCTTCTGCCTCAGCTGGCCATGGAGTAGAAGTTTCCTCCTGCCAGGACCTGGCCAAGGACGCAAGCAGGTACCGTGCAAAACTCCTTCGCAGCAGCCATCCTGGAGGCCAGGGTCCCAGAGCTCGGCCCTGGCCATGGGTCAGGTCATATCGGCAAGAGCTGTGGTTGGGCYCTGTGAGCCTGTGTCTTTGGTCTTCTGGGCCGCAGCTGATCTCAGGCCAGCTCTTTATGTGACCGTGGGAGGCGCCGTGTGAGTCAGGGGACTGCAGAGGCAGGACCAGTAGTGTGTGCGTGACGTTCCTTCTGTAGAATTCCAGTTACACCGCGTTCTGGAAAGGAGCAAGCTCCTCTGAGGAATGGAAACCCTATCAGGGTGGCCAGGGTGGGGCTGGGAAGAGAGATCTCAGGGTGATGGAAAGATCCTCTCTCGGTTGTGGGGGTGGTTACATCACTGTCAAAACTTTGGCAACTATGACTAAAAAGAGTGACTTTTATTATTTTACTATAAGTTATACCTCAATTAAAAGAAAAAAGAAAAAAACTTATCCATGGGCTAGCATAGGTTTTGGGTGAAATCTAAAGGAATTCTGCCCTCCAGAACTTTCCCTGATGCAGATAGTCTGTCTGGCAGAGCACATCCTTGGAGCCAGTGGATGTGAGTGGTTCCTGCTTGCTCCAGGTCCTCGTTTGCTGAGGTCACCTGCTGAGGCTCCCTGCCTCTCACACAGGGTGACATGGTGGTCACACCCTGGGTGTTGGTTTGCCAAGTCTGCTCTGCTCAGGCYGCCTCTGCGTCCTGTTCCTTTACACACGAGTGCGTAGCCACAGGAGCTCGGGCTACTCTGGGCCAGACACTGCTTGGGACAGGACACAGAGATCAGAAGGCACACGCCACCCTGCCCTTGTGGGGCACCCGACCCACTGGAGAGGACAGGAATGGCCTGAGCAGCCAGAGTGGGACGCACAGTGTGTCTCGCTGGAGGACRGACCTGGCTCTGCACTTATTCCAGGTGCTGGGGAGGGCTTCAGGGGACATGTCGGCTGAGTGGGCTTAACTACACATGGGCTGAGGACGCTGGGGAGAGAACGGATATTGCCAGCGTGAGTGAGGACACAGAAGACAGGCCAGGGGACCCTCACTAAGGATGCTGGGTGGGGCTGGAGCCTAGAGTGTGAGGGGGGAAGCGGAGGGTGGTCTGGAAGCCAGGCCCTGAGGGCCAGCACAGAGGGTCAGGTGGGGATTGGGATTTATCTTTTGTTCTCTTTGGTAGAATTTTTTGTTAATAAAAAATTTTTTGAAAGTACAATTTAAATTTATGGAAGAGTCGAAGATAGTATGGAAAGCTCCCATTTATCCATGTCTAGAGTTTCCTCTGATAACACTGTAATAATAGGATGGTAATTTGATATGATTTATGAACCAATATTGAGACATTATTTTCAACTAAATTCCTTAGTAAGTTTTTATTTTAGTCTCCCCGCCTCCCCCTCCYGCCACGTCCTTTTTCTGTTCGAGGATGGCCCACCCCCCTCTCAGACTCCCCTTGGTTCTGGTGACCTTGGTAGGCATTTGGTAGGATGCCCCTTGATTGGAACTTGCTTGATGTTTTTCTCATGATCAGACTGGGGATATGGATTTTGGGAGAGAGAGACTACAAAGATAAAATGCCATTTTCTTCGGTCCCATCTAGGGACCCTGCCATCACGGGACTGTGTCCTTGGCTGTGCCAGGGTGTTGCAGGGTCTCCATCGGCTTCTCTTCCATCTGCAGTCTTTGGAGGGAGTCACGGTGCAGCCCCTACTTTGGCTTGGGGCTTCAGCTACCCTCCGCCTCTGTTACATTTACATGAATTATTTAGAATTCTTCTGCACAGATTTGTCTCTTCTCTCCCATTTATTAATTTATTCAATAATTTATTTATCAGTGCGGACTCCGGGGTATTTATTTAATACTTTGGGCTGTAATCCAATACTGTCATCTTTTATTGTGCAGATTGCTGAGCTTTGGCTGTTGGCTCCGTTGGCTTTCTTTTGAGTGTCTAGAAGCCCCGGGCAGGACAGTGATGTGATCAGATTTGCATTTTTAAAACCTTCACAAGCTGCCTGCCAAGGCAGAGAGATCGCAGCACTGAGAGGCCCCCAAGCCTTGAGGCTCCAGGCCCTGGCCTGGCTGGGCAGGACGCGGGACAGCTGGGTTTCCATCACCTCTAGTAAAGCATGCCTTCCAAGTCCACTTGGCACTGTTTTTAGGTCATGGGGACTGTGGCCTGGATCCAGGGGTCCAAGTAAATCATGACCCTTCCTCTCTGACCCATCCCTGGAGGTTTTCAGGGCCATTTTCAACAGTGAGCAGATGAGCATTTCCTTGCACGGAGACAGAAGTTGTTCTTCACCCACCTGGCCCAGCGTCAGAGGTCCTCCATTACGTGATGTGGAGATCCGACCCTGGGTTCCTGTTTCCCTGCGGCTTCTCTTGCTGGACAGGCTGCCTCCTGTTTTCACCACGTGCAGGCAGCTGCAGCGCCCCCACATCTGTGGCTTTGTCTTCCCTCTTTGGCTTGGAGGGGAGCAGCATGGCAGTGAGAACGCCCAGGGCACGTCTTATTACTGATGGACAGATGCTCTGTTCTTGCTGGGCCACTTCCTATCGCCTGCTGCTTCTCGTGGCTGCCTTGGAAATACTGACGCAATCCCAGAGCAAAGAGCTTTTCTCCAGGAGCTGCCCCTTCCTCACACACCCATCAGTGTCATTAGGCCCCATGCCTTGGGGAGAACAGATGTGACTTGGGGAGAGAAAAAGGGAAGAGTAGGAGAGGGCTTTGCTTTCTGCAGCCCAAACCTGCCTGAAGCYATGAGCCTGTCCTGGGAGGAGGGAGGAGAGCATCGATTGCTGAGACTGAGCTTCCAACAGGCCTTCCGTCTCCTCCAGTGCCGGCCCAGCGCTGTTTGGCGGGTGAGAGAGGCTGAGGCCAGAGAGTCTGATGATCTTAAGAACTTCCAGGAACACAAGTCAGAAGGTTTTGCTCACACCAAGACAGCCACAGCTGACCTCGGGGGCTGGTGGCAAAGAGCCTGTTGTGCTGGCACGTGATCCAAGAAAACACCACCCTAGTTCAGAGCTGACCTCCCACTCTCCCTGCTGGGGGACAGGGAGGGTCCCTTAGGAATTAGGAACCTGACCTGAGCAGCCGAGCTCCCTGCAGGGGGAGGCCAGCTCCCTGTTACGGATGCAGGAGGCCCAGGGAATGGACCCCTTCAGAAATGCTGCCCTGAGCTGCAGCCTGTGTCGGGGGGATGGGGTTGTGGCCTGGCTGGCCAGCCTTCCTGTGAGTGTCCCTGCCTGCCTTGAGCAGCCTGGCCCCAAACTGCTCCCCTCTCTCCGTCAGTACTCCCCCAAGATTGGAGAGCTTTTCCCAGGTGGGAGGGGGAGAACCAATAGGAACCTCTTGAAAAACAACGCACATCTTCACATTCAGCAGTTCCTCAGCTGGCTCCCCCCTCGGCAGTGCATTTTATAGGTGGAATCTTCTATTAGTTTGCCTTTCATTACTGTAATGACATACCCGAGGCAGACCAGCTTTATAAAGAGGCTTGTTTAGCTTACAGTTTGGAGACTGAAAGTCCGAACAGCATGGTACAGGTTCTGGCAAGGTCCCCCTGACAGCATCACTTCATGACAGCAAGCCACAGTGCATTATCTGGCAAGAGTCAGGGAGGTGCATGTCCAAGTCTGTGTTTGTCTTCTGTCCCTGTTCTTGTAAAGCCACCAGGATTTAATCATGGGGCTCTGCTCTAGAGATGTTATCTAAATCTAATCACTGGCTAAAGACCCCACTTCTGAATATCATAGTGGTATTAAGTTTCCACTGTCTTCATGTGATTGATGTATGGCTTTGGGAATTAAACTCCTGCATCAGTTTGGGAGCTGGGCAAACCCTAGTCAAATCATCGTGGGTCTGGGTGATTCTCCCTGTCTTGCCAGGGAAAAGGGGTTGGGTTGCTGGGGCTGAGGGTCACTGTGGATTAAATCCTGTACCTGCCTCACTCTCTGGGAGTCAAATAGAAGGTGCCTCCTTCATCTGGGTGGGAACAGGCATGGGAGAGAGCAGGGCTCAGGATCCCAGGCCTGCAACTCTTCCACCTCCCAGGAGGAGACTAAAATTGGGGCTGGCAGCACTTCTTGGAGTCCGAGGCCCTGGAACAGCCTGGAAGGGAAGCTGACTCTGAGTGGCTGAGTGAGAAGCGGATGATGCGCTGGGGTTGGAGCAGTCAGGGAGGGTAGGGCCTCTTTGCACCCTGAAGGGAGGAGCTGAGGCCAAAAGCCCACTCTGTGTCCAGCACAGCTGCCCAGTGTTAGCCCTGGCCCCATGTTATTTATGCACCTTGGGGAATGCTTTTCTTCCAAGTCAAGTCCATGCCAGCTGCCAGGGGCAGGCCCTGTCCTAGATGGCCCAACGGGAGTGGAGAAACAGGCCCTCCTCAGAGGAGGAGCGGAACAGAGGTGCCCCCGGGAGGTGGGAGGGTGGGCTTTCAGGCCAGAGTGTGCTTGGCCCAGGCCCCTCCTGCCTAAGTGCTGCTGCCTTTTGCTGCTGCAGGAGGGGAAGCCCCCGGGTGCAGGAAGGGTGAGGGGCGACCTGCAGTGCTCCCTGGTGYGCTCTCATGCTTTGTTTGCATTTTTGGTTCATCTGTCCACCCACTTGGTAGATTCATCCTGGTTGATCCTGTGCCACACCCTGTGTGTCGTGGTGCAGGGGAAGGAGCATAGASATGGAGAAACAGGCTGCTGGACCCATTTTGGCGTATTTATTTATTTACCCCAGGGGTTGAACCCGGGGGCGCTTAACCACTGAGCCACATCCCCCCAGCCCCTTTTCTTTATGCTCTTATTTTGAGACAGGATGTTGCTAAATTGCCGAGGCCTCAATAAATTGCTGAAGCTGGCCTTGATCTTTTGATCTCCCGCCTCGGCCTTCGAAGCTTACTTGATCACTCTGAGCCTTAGTATACCCATCTTTAAAACGAGGCTAGTAGTAGCCATTTCCTCGGGGTCATTGTGAAGAGTAAAGGT